CTTGTTTTCAATTAGACATAATGTGCTACTTCACAATAGCATTACAATTGATATAATCAGACTGGGCACTTACCTGTGATCCTGAATTTGCTGTTTTAAGGTTTCTGCTAAACTCCATGTTTTTATTTGCTGTCAGTTTGGGCAATTTAGCGACGTTTGCCCCGTTTTACCTCCTTGTCCGGTTGCCTTCATGCTTGGTAATCCTCAGAAAGATGCTAGATATCCTGAAAGTCTGTTCCTGGCACCATGACCATCCCCTGCGAACTGGACAAACACGTGAAGCAAAACATTGACAAGCTATCAGTTAACCAGCGTTGTCCTGTTGACAGCTCCAAGTAAAATCTGTTTTAACTGAGGTGTGGTTTAAAACAATATGGATTGTTATGTCAAGTCTTGGACCTTCTCAATATAACTATGATTTAATTACAGTTTCCAGATATTGGAAGAGGCCTATGAGTCTCTTTGCTAATTATCAATGGTCTTTGCAATTAACAGCAGATGTACCCATGTTAAGTAAATTGGCAAAGGTCAGAGGAACTCCAAGAGAGGTCTTCCTCAGATATAATACAGTTAAAGTCTTGTTAGTTAGTGCTTCATATCCAGCATGCATTAGCTAAGAAACGATAAGGATGTTGGTGTGTTAGTTAATGTAAAGAAATGTATGTGCGCTCATGTGCAGACGATATATATAGTTTGTTAATTGGATAATTCATATCCTGCAAGGCTCCTAAAGACTTCATGAGATAATGACCTTTTGACATCTGGAACTTACATGTTGCTCTGATGTTGGTGCGTCCAAGTTTAGGAGACCTGACAATGTGTGTGCGTTAAACATGATTAGGGAACATGTTCGTGTGTCATTTAGGAAACCTATAAGTGTCTTGTGTTTCTGAATATTCGAAGAAGGCATTGCTGTAGGACTGCTTGAGAGCAGAGGTAATGTTTTCCTCATTATTATTGATTGTTGTACAACGAAATAATAATTGATCAACTATACCTGTGTTTGTGTTTTATTGATTCCTCTCTGTTTCATTCTTTCATGTTGTGTGAGTACTTGGATCGCCACAACAGGATAACAACGTTTTAATCTCAAATTGTGTGTGTTCATATTTTATGGACAATAATCCACTTAATTCGTGATGACTTTCGTGTGCAAACTACGGCGCAACGAAGGATCACTGCAGCGGGGCAACAAGCAATCAGGAACACAGGTGGCATAACATTTGTGATATGCGCATGCGCAAATTTGTTTTCCCGCAATCACCGCACTTGTTAATAGAGCTATGTAGATTTAAACAAATATATACTATTCACTGGCGTTATATAACAGCAGCAATTTACGATTTTCTCACCTGCAGCCAGAAGGTGGGACACCAATATATTATAAAATACATTGAGGCCATGCAGCTATAATAACCAACTTTTTTTAGCAAATCACCGTGTTTTGCATTTATAATAAAAAGAATAAACAAACAGGCAAATGTAACATCAAAAAGATACAAGGATACTAATACTAAATAATCAGAATAAAAATCTATATAATAAAAAAAAAAATCTGTGGTTCTTGGCTGACAGTGAGTACAGCGGAACTATTGCTCCCTAGCTCCGTGACCAAGTCGGACACATTCAACGGTGCACCACCAATGTCAACTTCACATCGAAATTACTTACCTGACCTCATGTTTTGTAATAACATTGAAGGTACTGCTTCATGAAATAGATAGAGGACGCGTTGAAGAGATTATACCCGGGAACACGTTTTGTATAGTTTTTCTGTTCTGGTGACTCTGACCGGACAAGATGCGCCTCACGCTGCAGTTGTTGATCTCCCACGGCCGGGTGGCCCGGAAGATGGGTCTGGGTCCGGAGTCCCGGATCAACATGCTGCGGAACCTTCTGACAGGACTGGTCCGTCACGAGAGGATCGAGACCACCGCGGCCCGAGCAGATGAAGTCCGCTTCTACGCTGAAAAGGTACCGACCAGGACATGCTAACACTGCTAGCTGCCCATTAAGCTAATGTTACTGTACTTTGAGCACAACAATATTTGTCAAATGTAAATAATTGAATCATGACATACACATTTCGACCTCTGTTGCTGCAAAGGATCAATATGCACCAGCTATTTAGAGTGAACAAAGAAAATACACTGATATGGTATAAATAAGGGGACCTCAGTTAATGTCAGGCTAACATTTAAAAAACCTCTGGCATTATTTAATGTTACAATGATTTAAAGTGTACATTAAAATTAAATGTAATTGAATATCTTTAACAAATTGAGTTATAAAACAACATACTTCGTTGGCCTTCCTCGGACATATAATAATAATAATAAATTATATTTATATAGCGCCTTTCAAGGGACACAAGGTCGCTGTACATGGTGGACAAACAAAACAAACAGACTATCAAAGGGCAAACAACAAATAAAGGAAGCCGGGGGACCAAGAAAGGGCTAGGGCCCGAAGGCCAGGGTGAACAGGTGTGTTTTTAATGATGATTTGAAGATGTCCAGGGAGGCAGCATTACGGATCTCGGCAGGAAGTGCATTCCAGAGGGTCGGGGGCCGCGGGCCGCAACACTGAACGCCCTGTCACCAACAGTTCGTAGGCGAGAGCCGGGGATGGAGAGCAGGCCCGTGTCTGAGGACCGCAGACTCCGAGAAGGGGTGTAGGGATGGAGGAGGTCCGATAAGTACTGGGGGGCGAGGGTATGGAGGGACTTTTACGTGAGGAGGAGTGTTTTGTACTGAATCCGGGACTTGACCGGCAGCCAGTGTAGGTGGATGAGGGTGGGGGTGATATGTTGCCATGGCTTGGTGCGGGTGAGAAGCCTGGCGGCAGAGTTCTGGACGTATTGGAGCCTCTCCAGGGCTTTGCTGGGAACCCCGGACTGGACTCCATTGCAGTAGTCCAGACGGGATGTGATGAAGGCGTGTACAAGTGTTTCTGTCACAGAGTCAGAGAGTGAAGGCCAGAGTGAAATAAACTGGGTCTTTAAAAGGCAAATGGACCTTATGGAATATTTAGGTTATAGGAACAACATTTATTTCTGTCTCCTGATGTCATGGTCTAGTGATTAAGATATATAGAGGGGAAAAAAAAACACTAACAAAAAAGTTAAAGATATATAATGGATACATACAAAGATATAACATATTTTAATATTGATATGCAAATTCAAATACAGCATGATATCACACCAAAAATCTTAATGGAGGTGTGAGGTTTACATGATTTATTTCGTTTCTATAGTCTCAGTTTTAATCCAAAATCTTCATCCCACAATGTCTAACTTTATATAAACAAGAGTATTTTTTATATGAATACGGTTTTAGATGCAATATATTCAGATTTTAATTATTCCTTCGTCCACACACACACACACACACTTGTCCTGACTGAATGCGTTTCTTGTTTTTGTTTGTTCCAGCTGGTTGACTATGCCAAAAAGGGAGACACTGATGAGAAGGCGATGAAAATGGCCAGTTTTTGGCTCACGGTACGTGCATCTCTTCTCAACTTTGTGAAGTGACAAGCTGTTTCACTCTATATGTAAAACAGTTCATCTGAAGTTGTGTTTTTCGTGTTTGTGGCTCTTTAGGAAAAGGATCTGGTTCCAAAGCTTTTCAAGGTCTTAGCTCCACGGTTTGAGCCTCACTCATTTGGATACACACGGATGGCACGCATCCCAAAAAAGGAAAACCTGGACAAAGCCGAGATGGCCGTCCTGGAGTACAAAGGCAACCCCTTCCCGCCTCTGTATCCTGTGAAAAAGAAAAATGAACTGGCACTTGTCAACCAGCTTCTCAAAGGCTACAGAGAGGAGAGGGCAAAAGCTTGATCCTGGTGTTCGATCAGTGATGTGCTGACGGATCATGGTCGGGTGAAATGCCTCTGCAGGTTATGGCTTATAGACACTATTTCTTCCCCAAAAACAGTTCCAAAGCTCCTGTGTCAATGTAAGCCAATAACATTTCTGTAAATGGACGATTATTACTGATTATGTATAAATAAATATAATTTCTTAAGAGAAGGAGATTTTTCGTAATCATTTGAACAATATCTGGGCAACGCAACATCAGTGCAGAAGAGAAAATAAAAGTAATCATTAAAGCCTTCTTCACACACCGGCCTGGGTCTGAATCCAACCTGTTGCACTTTGCTCTCTGTCATATGTTCACTTCTCCACTTTCCAGTCTATCTAAGTTAGGGTAGTTATGAGACGGAAAAAAGGTGATCAAAGCAGCAGAGAAAGAGACATCCTGACCTTTCCTTATTGTTGGTCAAGCTGCAACATCAGATCATACATCTACTGTAATGCAACTAAATAGCCTTTCTTTTTTAAATAAAGTCCACCTGTTTTTTTTCTACATCTCCATTCAGAAAAAAAAGCCCTCAATGGATTCTGCAGAAACCCTTTATGATAAGTCGATGTTTGCATTGTGAAGGGTCTTCTCTGTAATACATTGTGCTGTGTTCTTATTTTGTCATCCATCCACATAAAAACTCAAATCAAAGACGGTAATCCCATATTATCAGACTATTGTATTGCAATACATGTGAAAGGCATATGGAGATCAATAAAAAGGAGTTAGTGACTAAAATACTCATTATATAACCACAAAATATCTCCTGAACTGAACACACACTGTCACAGAATAATTAAAGAAGTCTGGTCCTTTCCTGGCAGTGATTAGCCTGAAAGCTATTTACAAATATAGAACTGGAGAGCATGCAGAGAGTTGCAGTTTGTCAGGAATCTGCACTTCAGTGGTCACAGAGCGGGAATCTGGCAGGGACAGAAAAAATAATTAGGCTATCCTACATAAAACGTTGACCAGCCTGCAGTCTGTCCCTGTGGTGTTTTTACTTTAATGAAGCCTAATGAGAACAGATTCTAAATATGATTTACGGATATTAGATGAACTCTTTTGGACGCATGCCCTTGTCCTAACTGGAACACAGCAGCCAAATAACACACACCCAGACGAGCCTTCTAATAAAACCATATATTTTTAATTATTTTGGCAAAAAGTGTATATGTACAGCGTGTTTAGAGTTGTCATTTGACACCATTAAAATGCATTTGAACAGTGCTTTAGTGATGTGCTCTTAACCAGATCGCTCTGAGTAGCCTAAAAGCTGTGCTGTTGTCTGTCATGCATACATAATCTCTTTGCGTCAAGTTCTCCCACTCCCAGTGTCTCAGTTCTGTAATTGTACGTCCATATACACAAAGTTTGAAGCGGTGATACAGTGTCAGTGAGCATGTCTGTGTCTATTAAGTCAAGTAATGGCAGACATGCCAACAATCAGAATTAACGACTAATACTCTAATTCAAGTATCATTCGGTTTCACAGACTACGTTACACCTCTCACTACAATCTTACAAGTTACACACCACAGTCCTAACATCCTACAGTACTCCATTACAGCAAGACTGCCATCGATACATTTGTGGACTATAAACTCAGATCCATTTCTACAATTCAGAAATCAATAAGCATATTCTGGATTGCAGAAAGCTAGTGGTAAACTCAGGGACAATTTCAAATGACAGTTCAATGTTAAATTACATTGACTTAGCATGGTACTTTGCCAGTCGATGACATGACTGTATTTACAGGTGTATAAATGTAGAATACTACTCGTGTAAGTGGCGTGAATACAGGTTTCAAAGCAGTCCTATAAGGTGACGGCATCACGAATAAACAGACTAAGACCAGGAACATTAAAGTGCTCCATGCAGGACAGACAAAATGTACACATGTGTTACCGTTTTCACAGTTCATCTACAAGGCTTTTTTTGTTATAGCTCAATGGTAGGGGATACAAAACTAGTGTTATTTGTTCAGCTTTTCGCAACGTTGGAATTCAAAAGTGAAATAAAGCCAACAAATATTCAGGTACTAGACAGGGGTGACAATGAAGTAACTTGTATTTTAAAAAAGGCATCCCCCCCTCCCCTGCTCTTACATCCTGGATGTTGAAAGTATTACTAAACGAGTATTGTAGTATTCCAGTTACTACAAAATCACCCCTGTCCTTGTGCTGTATTGCATCAGTACATTCACCAACGTCTACATACACAGATATGACATTTTCAAGCAGGAATATTCTGCACTTCAGTTCAAATTAAACTAAAACTGACATAGTGTAATATTGGTTTTATGTTTTAGACAGCGCAAGGCTTCCATCACCAGAATTCATCCAGTCAAAAATATACTTAAGCCTATTGTATGTATTCACAAAAGTATAGATCTCAATACACACAATAAGCGAATATTGTATGGTCACGTGGAGTTACATTTATCAGGACGGGAAATACGATACAAACATGCGTGTTTTACGAGTACCTAGAAGTGCCCACAGTAAACGTGACATTTTACATTTACACATCAATCCAGAATAACCAGCTGCAATGAAGGCATATAAGAATATAAATTAACCCAACAAACTCCATATAATATCTATGCTTTATCAAAAATGTGTCAAACATAAAAAAGTCTTGTTTTTTCTTTTTTACATGACTTGGATAAATGTAATGGTATGAGTTATTTTTTTCTGATGGTCACAGCACCAACAGGAATTTATTGATGTGAAAAAAAAAAAAAATCCAAACAATTTCCTTTTTTTTTAATTAATCTATACAGAGTGGTAGTTATCTCCGGTTTTAGGTATTTACAAACTCCTACCGACACACCATCAATGCCTCATGAATGTTTGATCAGGAGTATTTCAAGAATTCTGTTCATTTCCGCCTGGTGCACAGCTATCATCCTATTGCTCTGGCTACATCCACTTTGTCATCCTTCTCCCTGTGTGCCTCTTACTGGTCAACTTCAAATATTTATTGCTTCTTTATTCTTTAACACGCTCTGCTCTCCTATCTCACAGCCCTTACCTCCCTCACTTTTCTAGGTTATTTCCATTTGCAGGTGAAAAGAGACCGTTTAGGGATTTGCTTTCCTGATGATTACTCTTCATCGTCCATCCATGCACACTTTTTTTTTGGCTGTCATTGAACAGTAACACCTTCATATCTCTTTCTCTACTTTGCATTGTCAGTCTGTCTGTTTCCTTGATTCCTTCCCCCCCTCTCCTTCTGTCCTGCCTCATGCCTTCGTCCCAAACGCTCCTCCTCCTCCGCTCTGCATGCTGAAATACTCTGTGAAGGAAGGGAGCCGGGGGGGCAGCGGGGGGGAGCGTGAGGTCTGGCGTGGGGGTATCGGAGGCAGAGGAGGGGGTAATATCGCCGTTAAATCAGCAGCGGTGGTGATGATCTTCTGCTCGCTGTTCCTCGGCACCTCGCCTCCTTTACGGGCCACCGTCTCCTCCACCGTCTTCACCGGCTCCTGGAGGGAAAAGGTGAGGTTTCAAGGCTTTATTGTCATTTGCACATTAGCTACAGTGTAGATATGGCAATGAAAAACTTAAGTCACAGGCTCCTCCAACAGTGCAACATATATACTGTATAGGTCATAGAACAGATAAAACCGATAAAATAGTTCAAGAGAATGTCCTGACCCTCTGGATGAAGGCTACTGTGCGATGTGGACCTTGCAGACACAATCAGTAACACCATACTAAACTCACATTATGACAGCTTCCTCTAACGACCACCAATGCTGTATAGTAGTTATAAAGGTCAAGGTACGTATATCCCACATGTTCTACAAACTGTATAAAGCATCTTCCCTTTTGAAGCATTCTCCTCAGCCCTAAAGGAAAGACTGTTCTTATTCTACCGGATCTGGAACCCCTGGATTACCTGGGAGTCTATAAAACACAGAGGATTAAGTCTGGACTGATAGATCTTGTGCGAGTGTGTTAATTATGTATTGATGGCTTCCCCAGATGGGAAGACCCACCACTCTCCCTGAGCTGTTTGGTGTTCGTGTGTCTTCATTTTTTTTCTCCCCTTTCTTGTATGTATTGATTTCTTAACGTGTTATCTTTTGTCAAATGCTTTGCAAAAAAAAAGTACAATAAACTATGTTATGCTATTACACTTGTTCTGTTTTCCCTGACCTCCAGTCCCTTACAAACAGACCCTCTGGTAATTAGTGCCTGCTTGATATGGTACTAAAAGCCAATATACATTGAATATTTGATGACGCCTATGTTTTTATATCCTGGTCGCACCTGGAATATTTTTGACATCCTCCTTGATCCATCCTTTTACGTTCTTAATACATTGCAGTCCGTATGTACTTGATTTTATTGTAAGTGGATTCTTTGTTTTTATTTACATGTACAATACATGTGCTGCAATATATCAATGGCTCATTAGTCACTTTTAAAAGTTACTAAAACAGTGAGATATATAAAAATACCAAACATTTTGATTTATTTTACCTTTATGAACTTTGCCCACATTTGACAAACCTTTGGCATATGTATTTGATCTGTAAATGGATTTTCTAGACATTTCTAAATGTGTCAACCACAGATACCACAGAGGCAGATGTGATAACTGTTGGGGAAATATTTTCCAAGGTCCATAACTTTGACCCAGTTTATCAGTTCATACTGTCCCGACTGAGCACACGCACCTGTAACCTTGGCTGCTGTGCTCTCAGTGTTTTGTCTCCCTGTTCCTGCCTGTTGGCGTCAGCTGATAGAGGTGTTATGATTCTATCTTGTTATGCACAATGTTGATTATTCTCTCTGAACTAGCTAAATACATGGGTCTGGGGTAGAGTTCTTCAGAATTGACGTGGCAGCTCTACCGTGAAGTCAGAACCTCTGGCTCTTGGACTTGTTTTGTGAATTCTCCTGCCGAAGCTCGTAATAAACCATCAGTGTTTGACATCAAAGCTCCAGCTCACCCCGTGTCTCCTTCCTGAGTCGGTGACTCCCACTGCATTGCTACACAGAAGTTTTCCCCCACAATAACTGTTTACCCTTCAGGCCAAATGCCTCAAAAACAATAACACTGCATGCCGTACTGTTTTTATGCATGAGACAAGACTTACATTTATTTTTCACCAAATCACCTTTGTGCAGTGTCTTCTAATTAGATGTCTGCGACAAATGCAGCTATTCTGGTGGTAGGTTTCTAACACAGAAAGTAGCAAGGACTAGATACTAAAACACACTGGCTCGCATTAAAACATCAGGACCTGCTTCCTTCATCTCATGAGAATTTCAAATATAAATTAAAGAGTTGCAATCTAACCTTATCAATCAAAATTATCTTAGTTATATTATACTTTTGGATATTGTTATACGTTAAGTCCCTTTTTATACAAAGAAAACTTGATACATTTTTTTCTTTTTCATGACTTTGTGTCACTTGTCATGCATCTTATCTGGTTTGTTTTTGGTGTTTTTTTTGTGTATAGTCCTGTATTGTCTGCATGCTGTATTGGTGTAGCTGAACATTTAGAGCTCTTCTTCTGTCATTTCTGTGCAGAATGAAAAAACATCCACAGATTTAAAAGTTCCCCAAGCTAGAAGATTCATCACAGCAAACACAATGCCTTAATTTGCTCTTGTCACACTTTCCATTAAATCATTATTTCCCTGTGCCTAAAGTGTTTTCATATCAGTGCGTGTGCTGTGTTACGCTGTGCTTACCGTCATTCACCACTGGCAGTTTACACCAAGACATAATCCCCAAAAAACATGTCCTCTCACAAACTATGTTTCACTGATGACTTCCAATTTGAGGCATCTTTGTTAGATGAGACAGCAATTAATTTCAAGCTAGGTTTGACACGGTAATATTTGCATTTTGAAAGCTTCAAAAAATTAATCAAACTTAGATTAATCTAATTACATATTGCAAGCACTGCAAAATGCTACGTTAGGGTAGATTAAACTGGATAAAGACACACATACCGTCAGGGCTGTGGAGAAAAGCCCTAAATATATGGAGACATTTAAATATTTGACACACTAATTTTGACCAAATAACCACATTAAGCTGAGACTGTTGTACTATTGGTGCTTTCAGGAAATATTTACACAATGAGATTTTTAGATGAATAGGGTAATATGGATATAATGACCATGTGGGTTAAAGTAAATAATAGAACAACTAGTCAGAAAACGAAATCACCTACTACCCTATACAGCCTTTTAAACCAGGAAAAGACTACACTTATGCAATATGAAGATTTATCAAATCTAAGCAGTTATCTACACATTTTTATATCAAGATATCGATACGATGTCCCTTCTCCTTTCCATCATGGGCTCTCTAAGCTGCTCAAACAGGGTGTATGCAGGAATCCTGAAGTCAAATGTAATACCTTTTAAGACCTTTTTTAAGACCCTTTCCATACATTTTAAGACCTCATCGCCACTTGGAGTTTAAACCGGTTACATTGGCGACACACTTTACCTCACATTGACTATATACAGTATTGATTGTCCTTCCTCCTTATCTTCCAACCATTTGGACGCAGACTTGCATTTCCCCATAACCATGTTGTTTAACAACCGGCGTAAACGGACCTTCGCTCGCTATCAAGCAGTGAGCGTGCGATGTCCTGTTCAGATGACGTCAAATCCAACGGGATGCCATAAATAAAGTACACAGAATCACACTACACACCTACGCAATGATTACATTCAGGCAGACTGTAGAATACAACCTCTTTGGACAATTTATATACTTATTGAAAACAAGCTACAAAATGTAATACCTTGGAAAATGCTGTTTAATACTTTTTAATAGCCTTCATTTTCGCTAAATTGATTTATCAACTTTTAATACTTTTTAAGACCCCGCGGACACCCTGTCAAAGTGTACTTGTTTTGTGAATTGTTTACCATGTGTGGTACAAAAAATAACATGTAAATTAATTAATCAAATATTGATATTTTACCCAGCCCTACATACAGCACACGGGCTACAATTCTCCCTCTGATGATTTTATTTACCTCTTACCTGTTTCTGCGATGTCATTTACGCCACAGCACTTTCCCTTATGTGTCTTCTACTTCAACAACTTCGATCTAAGATATTAATCATGCACCCATAACCATGTGGAGCTACACTCACTGAATGGATGGAGAAGAGCTCAGTGAAGTTGGGTTGCGAGTCTCCCAGGAAGGAACCGTTTCCATATGCATGATGGGGGAAACTCTCCGCCCCTTCGCCTGCTTTTGGGCTGGACAGCAGGATCCCGATCTGAGACGTCCGGACGTGATATGGGAAGTTCTTATTGGCTGCTGAGGGTCGTGTGATAACCTTAAAGGGAAAAAAAGATTGTAGGGATTCTTACATGTATACTCTATGTATGGATCATTTCTAATAGCTAACACATAGCTAGAACATATATGTCCCAAGTGAGAAGATGTGATGCATGCAGTGAATATAAAAGGGGATTTCTGTAGGCAGCGCGGCCCATTAGACTAGAACAATGTGTCAAAGGTGAGGATGAGGTAGATAATGATGTGTGGAGGAGACAATCAGCATGAAGCAGTTATGACTCAAGGATAGTGAATAATGTATGACTGACAGAGGCAATAATGACTGTTGAACAATGTTAACTATGAAGGGTCTGCATAAGCGTGTGTGTGTGTGTGTGTGTGTGTGTGTGTGTTTGTGTGTGTGTGTGTGCGTGTGTGTGTGTGGTACGCACAAGGAAGACGATGTGGGCGTAGAGGTGGATGCCGAGCTGAATGCCGTTCACGATCTTCTCCCGAGCCCAACGAGGAATCCCAAAGTTGGCGATCAGAGCCATAACAGGCACTGCGAAAAACCTGAAAAAAAGACAAGTAGTGATTTAGGATAATGAAAAACACATTAAAAGAAAAGAAGAGAGTTTTTAATGGCGAGGAAAAGAGAGGCAGACAGAGAAGAAAGAGATGTAAATCTTACAGAAAGATAAAGATTGAAGGAGGGGAGAGCCATAGATAATGAGGCGGGAGATAGTGGCGGCAATGAGAGCACAAAATAAAGACTGAGATAATATTATTCTTTGTAATCTACTCTCCATTTGAAGCTCGTGCTCTTAAATCCAGTGAGTGAAGGGCAGTGAAGCCGAGGAGTGTCTGTAGAAGAGTTTCTGTTCAAAAAGGGAAAACACTTTGCAGTACAAAGCTTTAAACTACCCAGCACACATTTATGGGAGAATAAATTATTCTAATGGGAGAGACCTCATCAGCTGGGTAAAAATAGATGTTTTCCTCTAGCAATCATTCACTCAAGCACAATTATCTTATCTGTTAGCAGAGCACAGAGGTTGGGATCACAATGCTGTAGAAGGGCAGTGTAAAATAAACAACTTTTCACTCCCGTGCCGCTGAAGCGTCGGCTATCTCGTGCATATTTTCACACAGCGGCATAAATTATTCAAATTGAAGACAGCTCAAACAGAGAATAGTGTATTTTTCTACTCCTGCAATCTCACTCAGGTGCCATTATCCTGGGGAGGGCAGAGTAGTGGAAGCAGTGCGGGTCTCACCATAGTGTGTATGTGGTGAAGAAAGGGATGTAGAAGGGTTGTTTCTCAGGGTAGTGTTTGAGAGACACCAGCACGGCGTAGCAGAACCAGACGTAGGCCAGCAGCTGCAGGCCCATCAGCCCGTATCCTGCGGGGCTGTCGTAGGCGTACAGCACCTCACCTGGGTCAAAGAACTGGCACAGGAACATGAGGAGTTTTGCCAAAATGCAGACGCACGCAATACATTTTTTTAGACAATAAGCATTTCTTCGCTCGGCTTCACATTGTAGTCTGGAAAAGAACAATATTGTTTTGATTTTTCAAATACTGTGAGCCATATTGTGCACATTTCTGCATAGCCCTGCACTTTAAAATATAATACACGGCAGTATATATATTTAAAAATGTTTAATGTTATATATTTTCTATTTATAATCATTATTTTTTGACCTCTTACAACTTATTTTCTTATCTTATCTATGTTTGCACCACCATACACCAAAGCAGGAATCTTTGACATTGACACCTTGTCTCTACGACTTGGGTGTCAGAACTTGGGTGTCAGAATGTGTGTGTGTGTGTGTGTGTGTGTGTGTGTGTGTGTGTGTGTGTGTGTGTGTGTGTGTGTGTGTGTGTGTGGTGTGTGTGTGTGTGTGTGTGTGTGTGTGTGTGTGTGTGTGTGTGTGTGTGTGTGTGTGTGTGTGTGTGTGTGTGTGTGTGGCTTGCATCTGCGGACACCAGATTGCATTTCACAGTCCAGTGAGTGGACAGCGATGGCCATCCAGGGTTACCTCTGGCTACATAATGCATAGGTTTTACGGCTCGGTGTGTTTTTTGGATCCAACCACCTGAGTCATTCTCCAACTCCAGGCTCAGTACCAAGAACACTCTTGCACTCTTTATTCCCAGTTCAATTGTAACCTAGTTTGGCGTATTTTTAGCAGGAGCTCCCCTGAGTTTTGCTCTCTTGAATAGCAGGGTCTGCGAAAGAGGGCATGCGGCAGATGAATGACACTGCCTCAGATCCGCATTTTGAAGAGTGAGAGCTATAGGCTCCGCTGTTAAATATAGCTTGGATAATTCCCCTGCGCTAGTCCCACTGGGTCATTAATGGGCTGTATTCAAAGACTGTAATCTACTGTCCCTGATTGCGGCATCATTACATCGCCAGCGGACTGTGCAGGAGCCTCTTCAGCATGCACAGTAAGTAATGTATGGAAGTGTTGCACTCCCCAGTGTCTAATTAATTCATGAGCTCTCATGCTCTATATGCTATAACATCATAGTGGCTGAGATATGTTTCTGTCTTCACATGCAGAGACAGTCAAACTTTTAATCGGCAAGCCTTAAAGAAGCGGTCATTGATTTAAGATTTATTATCTTAGGTACAGCAGCGTGTACTATAAACCTCTTAAAGAGTGTTTTAGGGAGTCGTCTTGTTGTTTCTGTTAGTTTCATCATTATCATTTTTTCAAAACAATCAATCAATTCAGTGAGTTGACATAAAAAGCCCTTACAGCCCACGTTAATATGGATAGTCTACTACGATGAATATTTACGATATCGTTAAAAAAGAATTGCAGATACTGTGTTGACAGTCTAGTCAGAAATATTCATGCTGTGCTTAGATCAAACGCTGCTTTCAAGACACGTCTGAAGTGATGTGATGTTATTCCGTTTTATCCCCAATTAACTGATGCGTTTTTGTCTAGAAAGTGTTAGAAAATACTTGAAAAATGGCCATGGCAATCTCCCAGAGACAAAGCTGAAGTATTATTTGTTCTGTCAACTCAATAGTCCAAATGCACATAAGATAAAGTTATGTAATTGACATTCATATAATGGATAGACAAACAATAAATCTTCACATTTCAGAAGCTTCAACCGAAGAAATACTTTTTTTAAGACAAAAAGACTGAAAAAATTAATTATTAAAACTGTTGATAAAGTATTAGCATTGCTGAAAATAACTGACATTTGAAAACTCTAAATCAAAACCAATAAACCTGTTTACCTTTGCACATTTTAATAAATGTTATAATTGAAAAATAAATGTTATATCTGTGGATTTTCAACTCACTCAATTCATCCTAGGCTTTGTGGATGTTACACATTTCCATAGACGTTGAGTAACGAACATAACCTAAGTAGCCCAAGTGTTGACTATAGAGCAGTGTGTGTGTGTGTGTGTGTGTGTGTGTGTGTGTGTGTGTGTGTGTGTGTGTGTGTGTGTGTGTGTGTGTGTGTGTGTGTGTGTGTGTGTGTGTGTGTGTGTAGTACCTCTGCCTCGTAGATGAAGAGGATGACGTAGGTGATTGTGTAGACTGTCATGTAGATGCTCAACTTAACCGACCCGCTGTGACTGATCCTCGCCCTGACACACACACGCACACACACAAAGAGGGTCAAAGTTCACACACAAGTTAGCGGAAGATAAGAAACGAATGCAGGCACACTCAAAAGGTACACTGACAGAGGGCGTGATGCAGTGAAACACACACACACACAGTCACAGATTAGTTCCTCCACACACAAAGCAAAGACAACCTAATCTAAAATGCAGCACAAAGGGACTGATGTGCTGAGCTTAATACATATAAAATGACATGCTGTGTAAAAACCTGTCCTCACTCACAAAAGCAGAAATTGATACTTCTTTATTTGCAGTCAACAACTGAAACAAGCATTTCCAAACATCTTTCACTCAGACTTAAGTAACCCCACACAGCAGAGGAAACACACGTTGCCGGGTAGTTATCTGCAAAATGTCAACTTATCAGTTACGGCAGATAAACAGCCGTGGTTTAAGCTTGATGATGATGCACTTTTTAGGTTTAGTCACCGGGGTTTTAAGAGGGTTTAATAAGTCTCAGAGATCAGAGTCTGTGGAGCCCAGAGGAGGATGTAATCCTGGAGTTGAAAAGCCAGCTTAAATCTTGCAAGCTCAGTTTTCGCTACACGAGTTCAGACTGGAAAATATCCACAGAGATTCAAATGAGCCCCGAGCACAACCAATCTTGTGAGCAGTGGTTTAGCTGATGACTCACCATGAATCAAAGCCTGTTATTTATAATTTAGCTGTTTCTTGTATATACACTGACTTAAGCAACCAACATCTAGGAACGGCTTGGGGGAAATCTAACGATGTTTAGGAACAGTTGGCTGGTTTTAGAACTGGACTTTCGAAATTGGAATTGAAAACCAGAGAGAGCTCTTCAATCGTCTATTGTGCGGGCTATTTGAAACAACGCCTGCCCCGAGCTAATGTCCACTAAGCCTCGCCAGAAAACAGTGAGAGATCCATTAGTTTGTCAGCTGCAATGCGGGGAAAAAGGTAATCCTGCAAACACCAAAACAACATAATGTTCACAGCAGAGCAGCATCCATCTATCTCATTCCCCCGACATATCAGGTGTTCATCCACTCCATCGCACCCGCCGTACTAACTGACTTTCTGACTGACAGCTAACAATGTCATGTCATGAGATACTGTTATGATTGTGACAGTGAGAGACAGGGGCAGCATAAAAAAAAACCTGAAAAAGGTGACAGGATTGCATGAGAAAATAGAGACAAATATATACATGAAAATAAGTTGCAAACCCCCACCTGGTGACAGTGAACCCTTTGCCCAACAATATGAGCATCAGCAGGAACACCAAGAAACTGACGGAGAACAGTAATTTCCCTGGAGACGGACAGAGACAAAAAGTGAGAAAGAGAAGAGGGTAATTAGGTTGAGGTTTCCGAATCTGTACAATCAGTGGGGAGAGACAAAATCAGGTCTCGCCACACACACACCCACACACCCACACACACACACACACACACACACACACACACACACACACACACACACACACACACACACACACACACACACACACACACACACACACACACACACACACACACACACACACACACACACACACACACACACACACACACACACACACACACACACACACACACACCACGGTCCTGCCTGTGCAATATCAAACCACTTCTTCACTGCACCCACATTCATCATCGTCCTCTCATTCATTCTGCTCGGGCTTTGAGTGATTTTCCAGTGCAGAGGCAGTGTCAGTCAGTCAGTCAGCGGCCGATGTAGGAGAAGAACTCACCGAGTAATTTCAGGCTGCCGTTGCCAACTCCATCTGTAGCGTACAGGCCCCAGTAGACACAATGGAACAACAGGCTGAGCACTGCCAACGAGAAAAACACAGGGAGGAGAGAAGATAAAAAAGGAAGTAGATGTCAGAGATGCAAAGTAAATAGAAGATAGAGAAGAGAGGAGACAGGGAGGTGATAATGAGGAAAGAGAGAGGGCAGGGGAGAGAAATGGGGAGTGGGGAAGCGAGACAGAAAAGAAGATGAGTTGATGAAAAAGGAGAGGAAAGAGAAGCAGAAGGCTTGAGAGAAGTGAGGAGGAGGGAGAAGGAGAATTTAGGGGTGGCAGGAGAATCGCGAAGGGATTTGAAAAGGGGACACGCAAGCGAGACGGAGGAAGGCAAGATAAGAGGGGTGGAGGGGGGGGTGGAAAAAGGAGAGATCGGCAAAGGAGAGAAGGGGGGTGTTTGTCAGTGACAGCATGCTCCACTGAACACTGTAGCGCAGTACGGCTGTTTGCAAAAGTTCTTATTCAAAGGCTAATCAGGCCGATAATATCTGGGCTCTTGAAGTGAGGAATAAGGTATGAGATGCGTGGAGGTGTGTGTGTGTGTGTGTGTGTGTGTGTGTGTGTGTGTGTGTGTGTGTGTGTGTGTGTGTGTGTATATAAGTGTGTGTGTTCAGGACAGAAGCTCTCACCTTCCACACCTGCCGCCATCATAAACATTTTGTAGGTTGTGTGAAGAAGCTGTCTTCCCTTCAGGTTGTCTGCAGGGGAGAGGAAAATAACAGGAATCAGATAGAGGCGGTGGAGGTGTGTGTGTGTGTGTGTGTGTGTGTGTGTGTGTGTGTGTGTGTGTGTGTGTGTGTGTGTGTGTGTGTGCGTGCGTGCGTGCGTGCGTGCGTGCGTGCGTGCGTGCGTGCGTGCGTGCGTGCGTGCGTGCGTGCGTGCGTGCGTGCGTGGAAAGAGATAAAAAGGATGGAGATATGCTAACAGATGGCAAAGGAGAGCGAGACAGGCCAGATAAAAGAGGCGAGCGGGCATCAGTATGCACCCATCTTGAGCTGGTCGTCTCTAGATGAGGCCGTATATATATTTCCCTCACTCTCTCTCTCCCTAAGATTTGAGGAAATATGTTTAATGCGCTTTTAACCAGACAATTTTATTACCAAAACCCTCCTGCGAACACAAGTGGCCCGGGGGAGAAATGTACAGGGGGGAGGACGGGTCATAAACGTTCACACACACTCACAGCTGCCCTGAATAAACACAAGCTTCTGAATCCAGCATCCTCCTGTGGTTTCCTCAAAGGTATGCTAATGGTGGCTATCAAAGGATTTCCCTATAAATTGAAATTCTGTCAACTTAAATATTTTCTCAAACATGTTCCCATCTTTTATAATCTGCACACGCCTACTGCATTGTGAATATTGTTTTGTTAGGTGTAGACGTAATGAAAAAATAAAGTCCCTTCAGGCTTGTTTTTCTTCTATTTGTACAACACTCTACATTGTTATTTTATGTCCTTTGTTTGACTTTAACTTGTGCAAATATATAAAACTCAAGCCTGCGTTTCAGTGAATTCTCAAATAAAGCTGGCAGAAGAAACATGCACACAGCCGAGCATTCACAGCCTTCTCCCAATTTGCATTAAATCACACAAAAAGATTTCAGCAGGACTCAAGATATATTTGCACATCATTACATGGCCCTATTCCTCTGCAGAATAGCAAGCAAAGCAAGAAATACACTTCAGCTAACCGCACACATTTAAAAGGTCCACCTCTATTCTAACAAATGTACTGAGTTGTGGAAACATTTCACAACAAAACCCTCGAATAACATTCTGTAAATTAAATTATGCCAATTTTGTAGCTACATTACCAGAGTCCTTTCACTTTAGACCTTAGTATATCCATATTAGGTAAACATCGAATTTCCTTGAATACCATCTGTGAGATTCAGCTATTCAGCTTGTTTACTGTTACTAGCCCTACAATTTAAAGCCTGTATGTGTTTGCACAAATAAAGTTGAGAAGAATTGGATTTAGTTTGTGATTCTCAGCAATTTAAAAATGACATTGAATACTTTGTTATACTAGAATCTCCTTCCAACATCACAATCCGTGTTACTCTGGATAACAGTGGCAACAGTTTTGATTGGAAATGGATCCACAAAAAATATCAACAATAAAAAAACATTGATTTTTTTCCATGATGCTCATTTTTGAAGCTGTGAGCACACAAACAAATACACTTCCATTGTATGTGGGCGTCTGCAGACAAGACTCAAAGCCCTTGGTAATAAAACTGTTTGAATGTTGTTCTCAAGTAAGTAGAAAAAAGTATTTGAGCCACACAAAACGTCAGGGTTATTGTGCCGCTTCATCCTCACTTTCATTACATTTTGTCATTTTCATTGTCATATACTGGATGCTTTGATTGCTACAAAACCCGATAAAGGCGAACACTCTGAAAAGTAAAAATGTCTTTGGTTGAACCACTCGTTTTAATTCATTTTAAGGGAATACAAGTCTCCAAAAAAGTGTTATTATTTGGGCTGTTATTCACGTGAACAAGACACGTGTCTGACAGAACCTGGAGAAAGCAGGAATGAATTTCTCTGAGAAGTAAGTCATTCCTTAGAGCTCTTGTTATTGGAGCTGTGAGCTTCCTGTGATAAACTCGCTTCACTAACCTTATGACTACCGCTAGCTTCTCCATTAAACCGAACACTTTCACACGAAAAAGCAAACCTCACTCTTGCCATCTTCTCTCTCTGTTTCTCACGCTCTTCTGACAAACCCCACGTACTGATAAAAGATAGGCACATGCTTTCCCCTTTACTTATCACAGAGAAACATGAGAACGTACTCCTATCCCTTTAAGAAACCATGTCGATTTTAAAATAGATCCCAAGAAAAGGTACGCTTAATGACTTCTGTGGGCTTTCAAAGTACGACTAAATTGGCTTCTTCGTGGCAGGAGAGATACAGTAAGTGGAAAAGAGAGTACTTACAGGCGAAGTAGCAGGAGAGGACGAACACCAGGAAGAAGATCACCAGGAACGTGATGTCCGTCTCCAGGATTCCTGTGAATAAGGGGAAGAAAAGGTACGGGAAGAACACATCATTATTGATTAGTAAGAAAGACAATGACAAATCCAGAGGCAGGTACGTGATGAGGATATTTAATTAGTTCAGAAACAGAGAGAGAGTTACCGGAGGAAATCAGGGGAGAGGGAGACAGTAGATGGGAGATGTAGGAATAATTCATTTAGAAGCTACTTGGGCCTCCTATTCCATTCATCCATTCCTCTCAGTTCATCGATCATCATTAATTCATCCAGCCATCCCTTCATTATTGTAATTTGTTCAGTTCAGTGTGCTTTATTGGCCGTGCTAAGTGGTGTTGGCTTGTGCCATCAGCGATTCTTTCCACAATCCCTCTCGCCCCGTCTAATCACTCTTACCGAACTCATCTGCAGAGAAATGCTGCGTCCAGAAAGACTGGCCATTGGTCAGCTTCATCTCGTACTCCAGCATCAAGCCTTCGCCCTGCGAGAGAGGGAGAGGAGGAGAGGAGAAGAGAGACAGGAGGCAGGTGTGATGAAAAATGCATCACGGTTTTGTGATCTGTACAAAATGCACATTAAAGCTTTATGCTGTCCTGGACAATTCTGCAGGTGGGAATGGAAGAGAGAAGTAACTACTGCTGAGATGTATTTTTAAACAGCATTCTTAGGAAGCTTTCAGTATGAGACTGAGGATAGGAGAGGACCTTTTTGGTGAGAACAATATGATAACCCAACTTAGAGGTTATGCTTTTTGGGTTTTCCCTTTCTGTAGTGTGTTGTGTGGGTTTTTGTGCATGTCGGGTGCACAAAAGCCCACACCCTCCCCCCTGAAACACCTCCATTGAACTCCTTTCTTTACTTCCATTACAAAGTGACATCAATATGTAACACTCGCTATTCGCTAACATTTCAACACATTGTACGTGATTGTCTGAGGGGCGGGATATCTAAGCGGTCGACCAATCACAACAGAGCCGGCCAGCTAACCAATCAGAGCAGACTGGGCAGCACGGGCAGTATGAGAAAAAAGAGCTCTTTGATCATTAAAGAATGTAAACATGCCACAATAGAGGCACAACATACAAATATGAACCTGAAAGTTAGCAAAGGTGCCCCTTCAACACCAGCCTTTTACAATTACATATATGAACCTTCATGATATTTGATAAGAACAATCTCAGGAAAGATATCATGACTGAGATTATATTTCTTTCTGCTGCAGCTCTGTAAATTACAGTTCGAAATGTTTATTGCAGATTTCTTAGAAGAAGAACGCGTTTTTTTTTATACTAATGCAACTGGAAGCAAAACCAAAACTTATTTTCTCAAGTCCTCAAAGTAAAAGTTTCAGCCAAACAAGAACTTTGCAATAAAAGTTTGTAACCCTCCGGTATCATTCGATTGGACTACGCAAATTAGTCATTCGGGACAAAAACGTCCACAGTGATACTGGAGGGTTAAACTGTGTTTTTTAATCAGCTACTATCTACAACATTTAACAGAATACGAGAATAACTCAGTGCTATTCAGTTGGTACCAAAAAGAGCTGAAAATAAACACAAAGCCTTATTAATAATGTTTATGTGATGACTAAGCAAGTAGAAGTTTGTATTGCTCAAGCTCTCAGAAGGATTAAATACCACCACAGCAATGCAGACTTTAAGACAAGGAAAACAACAACATGCCACCAAAGGAGAAAAATATAAATTCCAGAGGATGTCTCGTCTCATATCACAATGTCAAAACACCAGCCTGCAATAAATCCGTGAAAGAATGAAAAACATCTTGCGCTGTTCGCTTGCTGTTTATCACGAGACACTTCTGCATTTGAAAGATAAATGAATCATAATGTTGCAGCAGTATTTTTGTCGAGTGAAGAGGGAGAAAGTACCACATGTGAATTTAGTTTGATGAGATGTGTTCCCGCCTACCACTGCTTTAATTAAACAACAAAATCCCACATTTCTCTTGAAGCCCTTCCCGTTACAAAAGGACGAAAAAAACATTCAAATCCTTCTTGGGGAGGGACACACTAGTTTAGCTGCTCAGTGTAATTGTGTCAGAAAGTCAGTCGGTCCCTCGTGGCCGTGAGGTGCCTAGAGATCCCCGAGGTATGTGGAGGAAGTTGGTGTAGGAACAAAAAAAGTTATCGAGGCTGCTCTGAGAAGATGACCGAGATTAACAGGAAGGAAGCATGAATGGATCACATCTAAAGCAATAGTTTATCTGCTTTAATGCAGAGTTTTCTCATTTTTTCTATTATTAACTGTTATTGTTAGACGTATTAATTATTTGTAAGGCTCATTATAATTATATGTCGATCAGATAACATTTTTCTACTTTGAGATGTTACGAAAGAGCACAGAAAGAGAATATTTGGGTATGTTAACATGCAGGAAGGAAACATATTGTTAAGGGAATAAACCTACCTGTATGTTAAACCCCTCGTGTAATAATACAAAATAAAAAGTGTCAAACTCAAAGTGAATTTTGGGGAAGGTGAGAAAAAAGTGTAATGGGGAGCAGAGACGAGAACAGTGGGGGGGGGCAGAGATTGGGTTGACAATCAGAGCACAGAGAGCTCATTTCACACACACAAGTTCAAAGCCGATGGAGTTTGCGCTTGTTGCGTTGGAGCGAGGGAGAAGAGAGAGAGAGAGAGAGAGAGAGAGAGAGAGAGAGAGGGAGGAGAAAAAAAGAGACTTTGATTTCATTTGGCAGTCTGAGACTCCATCTCACTCCCTCGATCAAAAAAGGGCGAGAAGCATGGAGCGTGCACTGTCACAAAATCAATACAGACACAAAGAGCGAGGAGACGGGGATAAAGGGAGTGATAGATGTGGAGAGGGAGAAAGTAGAAATGAAAACAGGTAAAGAGAAAGAATGAAGAGCACATGCAAAGAGGGAACGAGAGAAGAAGAAGCAGCACTTCACACGGCAGAGATTATCTCCCTGTTCACACTGACAGGGAGTCACAGGATGATTGTGGGGTTGCTTGTTGGTTTGAGGTGTAAAAAGGATTCCACTTCTGATATAGTGTACTGATAGATCACACACTGAATGCGCTCTCACTCAAACACCTGTGGGGCCTTAACATCTTTCGCTTCCCTGCGCTGCTGATAACTGCATTTAAAAAGCACTTCTGGGAGTCCTTTGGAGAGCGTCGATCTTCTCTCTGGAAAAGTGTGTGTGGACAGCCGAACAGAATACTCCAACAGTAGGTGATTGTGGGACATGTTACTCCAAAACCATGGAGCATTGAAGGGGTATACCAGTGTTTACTATTGCACTTCCATAACATTTTGGGACTTGGAAGACGTTTTTTTAAAGTCAGAAATGTCCCAACTTTTTGTCCCTCGCATGGGTTTTACTGTGTTGTACTTTTCCTATAAAACATCCTAATGACACATTTTAAGTAGACCATCCCTAGCTCTTTCACACAAGCACTGCAACCATTAAATGATCGTGATATTGGGAGCTGTACTGAAAAGTCATTACGACTGGACATTAAAGGGAATTTACCCCTCCAGCTCTCTAGTACAAAGTCTGTGTGATGTCCGATTGAGCCAATGTGTGAATAGAGCCGCTCATCGTGCGAAGAATTAATGGCGAGTAAGGAAGTGTTGCTAATGTTAAAACCAGAGGAAAACACACATCAGAGGGTGAAGAAGAAGGGTTATTCATGCAATGACGTCAACGGAGCTGTATAACTAGAATGTCAGGGACTACGGATGGAAATTAGCTCAAAGCTAAAATCCGGCATATTTACACTTGAAGCATTATTTGTCTAAAGTGTTCATTAATGTGCATTGTGCCTATTCAAATAAACGATTAAATGAAAATGAAATGAGACTTCAAGATTTGGGATCTTTTTTCTGTAAAGGTTGACGCCAAAAGACACAATCTTTGGTTGTTTATGACCATGTTATGAACTGACTACAAGACAAGTGGGTAACCTGCGTCATGTCCTGTCTGCTGCACTACCTAGGTGCAACCTCTGACCTAAACCAAACTATCTCCTGTGGTGTGCTACATGTGATTTCAGACAATGAGGGGCTCAGATTCTTCAGATATCGTCCATATGAGAAAAACAGGTCCTGTACAGGCAGCCTTTCTTCCCCAGATGTGACAAAGCTCCTCTAAAGCTAAAAAAGACAAGTGTCCCTTTGATGCACCGCAATAAACAGCCTCCCCTTCCCTCCATAGGCTTTCCAGAAGATTTTGAAACCTGGCTGCAAGGATTTGATACCATTCTGCTACAAAAGCATTAGTGGTGTCGCAGCATGTTGAGCTACAAAGGGCTGGCTCAGGTCGGCGAGCCAATTAATGAAGCTGTTTGATGGGGTCGAGGTTAGGGATCTGTGTTGGGGCCACTCTAATTCTTCAACAACAATTTCAAAGACCTAAAGAAAGAAATGGCCTTCTCCAAACTGTTGTACCACATCAAATGACCCTTCTAAATGACACCCCAGTTCATATTTTCATACCTATTTATACAGAACAGAAGCTAAAGACACTAACTTCTGTTTCACTGGGACCAATCAATTAAGAGAAAATAATCATTAGATCAATAATAACTGTAGATGATAATTACAATAATTGTTACTTGCAGCCCTGACAAAGTGTATTAGTCATACTTAAGTATTGCATTTTGTGTTCACACTACAGACAACCTGGTTTGTTCATTTCCTTCAAAAGGAGGTATCTCTCCCAAAAGACACCAAACACTGTCAAATATTCCTGTCATGGTTTCTTATTTATCACATAAAAGAACTCTGTTTCAAGACGGAACTGGCTCCCTATCCGGCACAAAGAAGGAGAGAGAGATAAGCAATAACATGATGGGAAAAACTCAGTAGGTGGGTGTGTTTTCACACCTTTTGTTCCGAAAAGAGTCACCTGGCAAGTCTAATTTCAGCGCTTCCTCTGTCCCCCACAGAGGTAATTTAGTTTCATTAGCAGCAGTTCTGTTCGGCATAATAAAGCAGAGGTTGATTACAGCAATTCAAAGCTTTCCATTTCTCCACAACAACAGTTTGTGTGGTCGATGGCGAGCGAAGCAGCTTCTGCTTATATTCAATTATTGTTATAATTAGATCCAACTAACGAGTTGTATCACTGGAACTCATCAAAATGGTTTTATGAAAGGCAATGACAGAGAAATAAGTGTCGCTCTGTGAAAATATGTAGATGTTCACTCCTTTACAGATGCAATTAGAGCTGGACTGTACTATATAATGTTCCTGCAAAGACATCTGTAGGCTGTGATTTACTGTGTTACTCTGGCACTTTACTGTCGGAAAAAACCTCTGCTCTGCAATCTGTGATGACCTGATTTTGATTTATAATGACCGCCTTTTTGTCCCTGATAAAATAATGATAAGTTTCAGCCTGGAGTATTCCTGTAATATAAAAAAAAAAGTGAAATAGTTTGGAAATGTTCAATAACGATCAACCTCACATTTTGGCCAGACAATTTCACTCGTGGGGATTTAACCCTCCTATGGTTTTAAGGGGCTCGTGAGCCTTTATAGATTTAGATCCACTTCAGCACAGGAAAGATGAAAGTAGATGAAAGAAGAGCTGTGTAAGTACCGGCACATAACAGTGAGGGTGCAAGGGAAAAATGCATGGAACGAGCAAAGAAGAAATGAGACAAGTGAGATGACAAGATGGAGAGGAAAATCACAATTAGAGGCAGACTGACGGAGAGGAGGCGAGAGGTAAATGGATATGAAACGTCGTGGTGCAGCTTGGTGACAGAGTTGAAAGAGAGCAGGACGCAGCCGGTGATTGTGAGCGACAAAGGTGTGAAAGCGGAAAGGAAGCGAGCAACGAGAGACCAGGGTTGGAAATTGGCTGAGGGGCGCTGCGTGAATATGTCCCCAGGAGAGAAGACGAGCTTTTACAATTTAGTCCGACAGCATTAGGCAGCGTGTCGATCACCCGACACCGGCGTGACACAAACCCACAGGAAGTATCCGCTCTAATCATATCTCTCTTCAAAGATGCACACTGACTCATGGCCAGGAGCATGACACTGATAGGCAGACCAATACAAAGTGATACACATCCAGCAGAAATCTTACTTATTCACCATTTTTTGTATCCCCTACTCTTTCAAACATGAAAACACACACATTCTTCCTTGGATTTGTCCTTGCCTGAAGCCCCTGGTGTTTTGTAAGAGGATGTATCATCAGTGAGCCGAGATATCATTATACAGGCTCATGGTTTCTTCACAGAGCGCCCCAGTCCAAACTCACACTAAGAAACAACACCACAGCTGCTGAGGCACCACAAGCACAGCAGTGAGTCCCATTATAAAATAACACAATGCGTTTAAGTCCCTGAGGCGTGCTAATCAATAGGCTACAGTGGAGTGCTTGTAAGGCATGTTTAGCACAGATTAAGCAGAGAGTTGCATATAAAGAGGAAATAAAATAAAAGATATTGGAGAGAGATAAAGCTCTTGTCCAGGGGTGAATAAAATAAATGCACGATGGTGGGAAACATCCAACAGCATTTGATAATTATAAGTAGATTATCAGTTTTTAAATTGGTGTCTTTAAAAATGTCAGTTTGTATATAGACCTATCTCATTTGCAGGTTTACTGTGGTTTCATTTTCTTGCAGTTTTTTCCTATTTGGATTACTTTACTTCAAGAATAAAAAATGTGGCCTGATGTAAAATGCTCAAATGCAAAAGCCCAAACTGGGACAGAAATCATGCTCAAGTTAATTTAAAATTTATAGCGAGACAGCACGAAAAAGTAGCGGGAAAACCTCCAAAAGTGGCACGGAGCCTTCCTCAGGGTGAGCTGGGTATATTTTCGCCTGAGCTTTTCCCTTTTTAATATCTGATGCTTCTTCTTGCAACTGGAATCTGTTTTTGTCGGGTTGTTTTGCTTGACTGCAAAAACTTAAAACTATTATTAAAAAAGTTAAAAAAGCTCTTTGAGCATATAAAAAGCAGATTTGAATAGATGAATAGATATCTAAGACGTCTATGTTGTTATTATTTTCATTTGGCACCAGTAGCTCAGTCTATGGGGACTTGGAGATCTGCTTTTAACGTGTAATTAATGTGTTTTATATTTTAGATGTGCTGTCTTTTTAATTTATGAATTCTAACATGTGTCTGTAAAGAGTCTTTGAGTACCTTTTAAAAGCGCTCTTTAAACACAATTTATTATTATTAGTATCTTGGGAATCAGAGGGTCGCCAGTTCAAGTCCTGGCCCAAGTATAGAGTTCGGACTGGTATATCGGGAGGTTGCATTTCAACCACAGGGCACTGCCTAGGTGCCTATGAGCAAGGCAGCAAACACCAACACTGCTTTCCAGACAATGTGTATATAACATCTGCCCACTGCTTCTTATACAAGTATGGTTTAAATCTACATTTCCCAGTGTGTGTGTGGTGTTGTGTACAGTTACGTGTGTGTGTGACATTTATAAAAAATAGGATTTCTCGCACATCAGAAGAAAAAGAGGACAATCAGAAGGTGCGGGTTTCAATATATACTGTTCCCTTATTGCAAATGTCTACTACTCCCTGTAACTGCAAGTATATTTCATTGCAACTGGTGAAATATCCTCAACTGTCTTCTAAATAAAGAATTGAAAAAAAGGAAAAAATTCATAAAAGAGGATTTCTCGAGCACGGATGAGGCTGACGTCGGCGATGATGAAAGAGAAGACGGGTGTTTACTTGAAGGGCTGCAGAAAACAAACACAGCCATTGTGTCTGCTTGTAAGCCCTGAAGCCCCAAGTCCATTTGCATGATGAGGTGGTGGTGAGTTACCATGGCAACCGCCTGGTAATACACCTGAGTGAGGGGGGGTTAGGGGGTCAGTGCTTACCCCGCACTTGCTGAGGGCGATGTACCACCATCTTTCCCTCACGGAGCGGAAACTACGCCCGCCCACGCAACTCAGGACCTCTTCGTTCCCGTCGCCCTCCACCTGAGAGAGAAGAGACGCATTAGAGGGGGGTCTGAGCAGGATGTCGTTATCTAAAAGACATGGTGCGCTTTATACCTCAGAGACACACTGAATCATCACAGCAGAGCCGAGATACAAAACATATTTCACACCCCGATATAGCCTGAGATGTGGCAACAAGATTCACTAAGCGCCACGACAACAGAGTCACGCTGGCAATCACACTTCGTAATGTGATAAACAAACATGTTGTGATGCTTATTGAAAAAAAACAAAAGGGATATTATTTTTAAAAAGGTGTTAAAGGAAAGCGAGGCCCTTTCTTGTTGATGCATCATGAACCAGGGAAATGTGTGATTCAGGGAAATGTTACAAAAACACATTAAAGGCCATTAGCTTTCACCGCCTCTGTGTGTATTTGTTTACCTCTTTTCCTGTCGCCTTTTCTGCATCACAAAAGAACATGCAGTATGAAAGGGGAAAATAAGTTCATCTGCTTGATGATAAAAAGGAATAATGTTATACTCTGTGACAGAAATATCACAACACAGAGGTCGGAGATCAGCTTTAAATTCTGTGTGTTCCTCAGGGAGTACGCTTAGTACAAGTGCATGAATATATGTATGTGTTTGTGACCGTGAGCTCTTACCACACATCCTGACCAGGTGTAGTGTGTTGTGAGGTTGATGACCTGATTGTTTTCGGGCCTCAGCACCGCTTCCTTCTGGTAGCAGTTCTGACAGAAGATGACACAGCAAAATCAGAATATAGGAACAACATATCAAACATGTAAAGGGGTCCTGATAAGCTCATTTTCAGGTTCATATTAGCATGTTGTGCATTGTTTACATGCTTCAATGTTTAAAAAGGTCTTTATTTTACGCCCTGTTGTGATTGGTCAACCACTTAGAGATGTCTCGCCCCTTAGCCTATCACGTACAATGTGTTGGAGCGCTAGCCAATAGTGTCCCAACTTTGGGATTTTAGCTTTGCAGACCCTTTACATCAGGGGTGTCCAAACTTGGGCCACATACAGAAAAATATATGAAGGGCTGGGTCACTCACTAGAGCTGAGGTATATCGCCTTATCAGTTAAGTTAAAAGTTAGCAAAATCAATCAAATGCAGGTAAATTATGCTTGAAAAAACAGCCTACATCACAGCTCTCCAAAGGGTTTAATTTACTGTGTTGGCAATATGAAGGGTATATTTCAAGCGTGTTATGTAAGTAAGTTATTGGGCTTTTTTCTTATCAACTTAGATTTGTTAGAAACATGTTTTCTACTTTAATTGACAGAATATATTTAGAAAATGGGCTTATTAACACATGAATAATATGTTATATATTTGTAGATATATATTTAAGAAGTACAATATAAGACAAACACAAGTTTCATTTATGGGCCATATTTTATTATACTTTTTTTAATTGGCTCAGGGCCGATTCAAAATGGCCTGCGGGCCGCATTTCGCCCCCGGGCCATAGTTTGGACACCCCTTATTTACATGCACAAAAACCGAAATAACACGCTACAGGCAAGGGAAAAGCATAACAGGGCCTCTTTAAAACTTCCCTAACTGTTTTATCTACTTTTCTCATCGACTTTTTATTCCACATATTTCACAGAATATGTTTTAATTAAGCCTCGAAATAGTCTCCAGACTTGTTGCATGCAGCTGCGGGTTATACCTACGTTCAGCTGTTTGCATACTAAGTATCAACAGAGAAGAGCTCTGAAAGCATAAGAGAGCAGACCACTTTACTTAAGACTAGAATGTAGAAAGTGTGTTTAATCGAAAAAAGAAATTGAAATTGTGAGTGGTTTATTGAAGCTGCTGTAAGTGTAATTAAAATGGATATTTTTTTTGTTGCTCCTGTGATGGATTTCTCCCTGCGTGACTGCTGGGGAATGGTAAGTGCAGAATCAAGGCCTTACTATTTAATTCAGGGTAACTGACACCGAAATCTGTCTTAGAGCTGAGGAACGGTGTACTGCTTGTCGCTGAGTGGAAAATACCTCAACATAATGTCACATCGGTGTCAAAAGATGTCGGCAAGAAGAATAGCATACCCCCAAATAACTACATGGGCCTGTAAATGTAAGGTATTGGGTCATTTATAGTCTTTTTTCTTACAGTGCTAGACCATTTTAGCTCAGATTTTCCTATATACCTGCTGACCTTGATAACAGTTTTTACTCAGAAGCTCACCTTCCTTTAATAACAAAAGAAACCATCAGATGCTGTGTGCTGATAAAAAACACTGCAATGTTTAAGCAAGGCTTTAAAATGGGAGAGCAGCAGGTATCGACATCTTCCTACAGCAAATGGTCGCAGTATACATTATTCATTGGTTGTGAAAGCAATTTAATGTCAATTTTATAGGTTGCATCATGTTATATGTCATAGTTCCAGCTGACATGTACATGGGGAAAAAACGTAGATAAAGGATTCATGCATGCCACTCCTAGACATGAGGCCCATAAATCCACTCTTTCTGAAAGCAAAAGACTTTCAGGCCTAAGGCTTAAATTATGGAATCAACCAGGTGTTACATGTACACTGCGTGGACCGTGGACGGATACGTTTGTCACCCCACTAACTGTGTGGATTCATCTAAATGCATACTGTGCAGTCACCTAAAGTATGAAGAAAGAAATTCATTTTGTATTTTTTTCGCACTTTACTAAAGCTGATTGGATTTGAAATAAAACAATGACTAAGAGGCTTAAAGGTAGGGTAGGTAAGAATGGAGAAACCAGCTCGAGTGCGCTAGAATTTGAAACTACGCCTCCGATAAAAATCTGTCCCTTCCTTCAGACTTCCTTACAGAGTAGGGATGCCAGCGATTATTCGATTATTCGAATATTCGTTACAGTCTCCATAATCGAAGACTATTTTTAAAATTCGATTTTATTTATATATTTTTTTATTAATATTTATGTTTTTCTTTTTTTTCCTGGTTTGGTTTCAACCAAAATATAGACTAATGCTAATAATAGTAATAGTATTAATAGTATTCGGTGTCGAATAATCGATTAATATTCGCCAGGGCTGTCTGATTTTGATCATGGTCAGTTTCTGGCATCCCTATTACAGAGCCCCTACTCCAACACAGACGAACGCGCACATGACCAATGAGGGCACGAGATAAGTTTGTGCACAGATGGAAGGCTGACAGGCAGGTAGGCCATCCAGTTATTTTAGCCGGGCTGGCTAAAATGATTGGTCGTGCTTTTTACAGTACTACGGCTTCCACAGATGAAATATTTGTATATATTTATTGTGAAAGTATTTCAGATATTCATTGCTATCGGGATGTTAAGAGCATTCCATGGAATATAACAAAAAGTGTTTCTGAAGTGAATTACCTACCCCACCTTTAAGTGCTCAAAATTCGTTTTTTAAGAGGACATATTATTCCCATATTTGTATTGCGTGCCTCTCCTGCTCCATGCTTTAATGTTCAAAAAGCTCTTTATTTTTCTCATACTGCCTGTGCTGCAGCACCTCTTTTCACCGTCTGTCTGAAACCAGAGCCCAGTCTGCTCTGATTGGTTAGCTGGCCGGCTCTGTTGTGATTGGTCAACCGTTTAGAGATGTCCCGCCCCTTAGCCTATCACGTACAATGTGTTGGAGCGCTAGCCTATAGAAGTGCGAGTGTTACATAGTGATGTCACCATGTTACGGATTAAACAAAGGAGTACAAATCGAGGTGTTACAGGCAGGGGGGGGGGAACTTTAAAAAAGAGCCTTTGCAGACAATTTACATGCACAACAAGCTGTATAACACACTTCAAATTGGAGTCCCGTGGTTTTATTAGAACTGTGAAATGTGAATAGGTAAAAGGGGCTGGATTTCTCTTGAATAATGGCTTGTCGAGAACACATGATTCAGAGGGTGTCAGTGTCTCACCTTTTCGTTATTCTTGTACACAGCTGGCCACTGAGAACTGTCATCAAAGTAGAGCAATATGTTCTGACAGCAGCGAGACTGCACAGAGGAGAGAGAGAGAGCACAGATCAGAGAGGAGGCAGCGAGACCCTTTCAGATTTATACCACAAATACTGTTTCCAAAGTCGGCAGGGTACAACAGTAAAGCAAGGCTTCTTGGGTAAAAAGAAGACAGAGCAGAAGAATAAAACAGATGCGTAAAAAAGATGGAGCTGGGGGAGAGGAAGAGGATGATGCGGGTAAAGCAGAGACAGCCGGAGGAAGAAAGAGAGAGGGAAGAAAGAGCGATGGGATCAGTTTAGGTGAAGGAAGAGACTAAAGTAAAGAAAGGATGACAAAAGAGGAAAGTTAAATCGTTTTGTTGCAAGGCAAGAAGGCGTGGGCAAGCTCACACACACACACACACACACACACACACACACACACACACACACACACACACACACACACACACACACACACACACACACACACACACACACACACACACACACACACACACACACACACACACACACACACACACACACACACACACACACACACACACACACACACACACACACACACACACACACACACACACACACACACACACACACACACACACACACACACACACACACACACACACACACACACAGTGTTGTTACCTTTGGATAGCGGAACCGGAAGTCCAGACGTCCGAAGTCGGTGAGAAAGCAGAATCGAGTGAGGAAAAGCCAGTCCTGGATCCAAGAAGAGAAAAGAGGAAAAAGTACAACAAAAAAAACATTAGCATGAATAACACACGGAGGAAACAAGATGAAATGCCTGCAGCGATTAGCAGCTGTGCACGCATGTTTCCATGGCAACAATCAGTGACACCTGCTGACCAATGTGGCACCAAATGAGGAAAGAAATGTTCATAAAATGTGTGGTTTTATAATAATGTGGAGGGAGAAATGAGAAAGGCAGTGCGGTCTACACAGTGGGGAGGTTTTATGCTGCTGGATATTTGGGTATTTTTACACTCTTTGCTATATTATCCATGAAAAATATCCTTCAAATGTTGAAAAAGGCAAACATTGTTACATTGTTAAGGGAAGGGATGGGACTGGTTGGAAGTTTAGTAAGCCATGTTTTCTAATATTCAAAAAAAGGTTAATTTACCCCGAATGAATGGCAGATTAGAATAAGATACTTAAAGAGGACATTTTCAGCTTCACATTTGTATTGTACTGTGACATGACAGAGAAACTCCCTCTGGCGTGAACTTTGAGATTTTAGCCTTTGCAGACCATTTACATGCAAAAAAAAAACATTCTACAGGAAAGGAAAAACCCCAGAAAGCATAATGGGGCCTCTTCAAGATAGTCAATCAATTAGCAGCTTTGTGCAATTGACAAATGTCCATGTTTATCTTAAGTCCGTCTTTGTGAAACCGCCCCCTCATGAGGGCGTTAGACAAAAAAAGTAAATGGATGATGAGTCATTTTGGCTGGAATAAGTCTATACCCATTTTAATATCAATCCATTCAATAGTAGTCTAGACATTTCGCTCAAAAGCACAAATGTCAGTCTCATTCTGCCCTAGAGGAGCAGTCGGGGAATCCCTCGGTCGCTAACATTTATTGTGTGAGGGCCATAAATGTCTGAGCAAACCTTTGTGAAGATTCATCTTTCCGATGTTGAGATATTGCTCTGGATAAGTGAAAACTTTGACCTGCCGACAGCACTAGACGTAAAGTCAGGGGAGCAAAGTATTCATTAACTGGGCACCCATCTGTACCCCAGTGTCACATTAATCCATCCAGCAGATGTGAGATATTTCAGACTGAAGTTAATGACTAGAGATGACATATAATTACCGCCTCTCTTTTCTATGCCTCGGCCAAATTCAAGTCGCAATTTGCATCCATGTCCGCCCGAAAAGTCATCATTTTATCCCATTAGACATTTGCATGAAATTGTCATAATTACAAAAGTTAATTTGTGAGTTATGGCCAAAAGTGTGCTGTAAGGCCACAGTGAATTAAAACGAGAAGAAAGGGGGTAAGGGAAGTTGAAACAGAAGGGCAGAGATTCAGAAAAGTTAAAAAAAGAGGTGGAGAAGATGAAAGAAAATAAGCTATTCTTAATATTATGCAGCCATAAGCTTGGCAGCATGAGAGCAGTTAATAGTGCTGATGGTGTACTTCACTCAGTTTACATAAGCCACTGTAGCTGCATCTGTTGGCATATCAGTCAGTGGAGGTCTATATATTCAGTATATATATTTATATTTATTATATACCGCTATGGGCAGACACATTCCTTAGATACGGATCATAGTGCTGAACACAGCAGTAACACCACATCACTTATATGGTGTTTACACACTCTCCTTATCTGGAGCACTGCCCGGTGTGGTTGGTCACACTGAGGCTGCCAGAGCAAATAAAGAGTTTTCAACCAGAATAAGACATTTATTCTTTAAAAGCTATACTTGCAAGAATCTTGCAACAAATTAGAGATTTTTTGATTTAGATAAATGACACAAGAGGCTGGAATCCGATCTGAAATATTACAGATTTTTGGTAAATGCTTTGTAATCAACAGAAAGCCTCATTATGGTAACTTGGTTTTCGTGATGATTGATGGACCAAAGCCTCTTTATTTCACAAACAGTGAATTATTAAATTAGCGTAACAACTGATTGATGTTGAAGAAGTCCATTTTTAGCGTGTTTTTGGCTCAGACTACCAAAGATCTGGATCAGTTATACAGAATTTTCTATAAAAATGCTCACAAGAGATTCGTTTTGAAGCCCAGCACCATTATTGTTTTACCAAAATGCCATACCATAATCTAATATGCTTAATCGTCCTATTGTCTTTGTTTTCCCCCCTTACTTTGCTGCTCGCGGTCAAATTTGACCGGTCCTGTTTTAACTGCAATTACATTAACACAAAAATCATTAATCATCACCAAATGTCACTTAACACCCTTTCAAACTGTAAATATTGTATCAGACTACTGGTATACATGAAAAACTGCAGTATACAATATACAAAGAATAGACACTGAACATGTATTGCGTGTGCCAGGTGTGATCCATGTGGGGGATGGGCACATACTGTGTGTGTGTGTGTGTGTGTGTGTGTGTGTGTGTGTGTGTGTGTGTGTGTGTGTGTGTGTGTGTGTGTGTGTGTGTGTGTGTGTGCCAGGTGTGATCCATGTGGGGGGATTGGGCACATAGGGGGGGGAACGTGTGTGTGTGTGTGTGTGTGTGTGTGTGTGTGTGTGTGTGTGCCAGGTGTGATCCATGTGGGGGGATTGGGCACATAGGGGGGAACGTGTGTGTGTGTGTGTGTGTGTGTGTGTGTGTGTGTGTGTGCGTGCGTGTGCGTGTGCGTGTGCGTGTGCGTGTGCGTGTGCGTGTGCGTGTGCGTGTGTTTTATCTGATCCGGATGGTTACTAATTCCTTTTCTTTATGGCGGTCATTTTTGACCGGGAACACCATGGGTGTTACAAAGTTGACTAAATCATCCAAAATTCAATGAAAGTGGTGATCAGCAAATGTACATGTTCAAATGTCTACTGTGAAGGATATCATAAAGCCTTAATGCAATCGAATCTAAAACAAAAAAAGTTATGATTGATGAAAGTAGTAAATCGGTCAGATTTGACCCGAAGACAACAGGAGGGTTAATTAAACATAAGAGCACTCTCAATATATTTGTTCTACAAAACCCCCTTTTTAATCAGCAGCCATTTAGCTGATGATTCATTGTTTTGGAAAATTCTCAAAATATGTAGTGTCTTTATTCGTGTGTTTGACAGCAAACTCAACATTTAGTGGACTGCTGCCAGACAAAATAAGCATGCCAAGCTCTAGGAAATTGTGGCAGATATTTAATAATATCTTATACAACAAATGATTATTCTATCAATCATTTTGCAAACAACAATGCCAAACTGTTTTTCTTTGAATGTTATAGTTTTCTGCTTTGTCTTGTCTTAAATGATAGTAAACTGAATATCCCTGGGTTTGAGATTGTCCCTTTGACAGGAAGACGTCTCGTTGGGCTTTTGGAAATGTTGATGGACATTTTTCTAGACCAAACTATTACCATTTCATCCAGACAACTATAGCAGAAAAAGTTGTTCATTAGCTTCAGGCCCTTCTCTGATTTAGATAACAAATTATCTGATCAAAGAAGAAGAAACCAAAGTATAGAATCTGACAAAGCCAACCTTCAAAACCTTTCCTTAAAACTCAATGTAACAGACACAGTTTGGTCAATAAAACTGAAAAAGTATTGAGCTTCATATCCAGCGCTGATCAAACTCTGAGAATGATTTGGGGTATCTCAACTTGGCTTTCCTACAACCTCATGCTAACTCGATATGACGACACACCAGGTAATCACTGATCATTTCACAGAACAGACAGCTTAATGATTCTTCTGTAATGTAGCTACTAAGACCAGGAAATAACAATTACATGATATACAAAAAAGTCCCCTTTTATCAGAAAATTATCTCTTTTTTAATGCATCTCCACATTCACACATTATTGTATGCTTCAATTCTGTTTCACCACACTTTGGATAACTGGACTTAAACCCACAATGTACAGTTTACATTTTTATTTAATGTTATATTCCATTCCTTACACACTTGTATATATATAATATCCTGCTTTAAATGTTGTTTATTGGTATTTAAACATGTATATTTTCTACTTTTTTTTTTTAATGCTGTTTTATTTCTATTTCTGCAGCGCAAACATTTCCCAAATTGGGATCAATAAAGTACATCTTATCTTATCTTAGGGCTGCACCAATGGGATTCTTTTGGCTAACATCACAATTGCAATTTGATTCACGATATAGGAGGGATTTACCATTTTTGCATCTATTTTCTCATTAACAAAATATATTACTACGGTCATGGTGTGACTTTTAAAGATGATCCGTACCAAGTCTGTTTTTGTGTAGCCAATAATACATACCATACTTTATACTAAATGGTATTTAAACAAATATTCAGCTTCCTGCGATTAGAAAATTGCACTATCCATATTGAGATTATGATCAAATTGTAATTAATTATGCAGCCCTAACAACATCTCAGCTTCTTCAGGGACGAGAGCACCGTTCTGCGGTCCTTTATTAAAAGTGTCCTGAAGGTTGGTTGTTATGAACTCCTGATCTCCACCCAACCAGCAACACTCCCCATGTACCATTATATTGTAATTACCTCTGCCCCGCGTTCTCCCTACATAAACAACACAGTCATTTCTGTGCTGAGAAATAAAGTGCAACCGGAGCAGCGTAGCGTGGCTCAACCCCTCCGCCTCCATATATCACAGCAAACAAAACCGCAGCCATATTTCAACCGCTGCCAGGCAGCTTCACCCCCCAGAGCCTCGGGTTATAACTCACAGCAAACTCAAGAAGTCACTGAAGCCCGAGACTCACTCCCTGCCCGGTGCGTTGTCCAGGGCGACACTTAAAGCTGTGACCATGACAACAGGGAGGGCAGTGACCAACAGACGAAGCCCTGGAGAAAGTCCCTTTTTATCAGAAAATGATCTTATTGTGATGCATCTCCAAGTTTTGCTTCAGGTAAAGTTTTTTTAATTCAAGTCAAGTCAAGTCAACTTTATTGTCAATCTCAAAATATGTTTGTACACACAGAAAGATCGAAATACTGTTTCCCACAATCCCGAGGTATAAAAAAACTCACATTAAAATGCAAG